CCCCGCTGCGCCGCAGCCGCCCCCGTCCGCGGCTCCGTCCCACCCCTGTGAACTCTGCCATTTCAGCCCCGCCGACCTGCAGCAGATCGGGGCGCTGGCCGTGAACCCCCTGGGAGACCGCATCGTAGACAGCTTCTTCCCGGATGGGTGAGGCCGCTGTTTGGGGGGGGGCGAACCCGAGTGGACGGGCGGCGCGAGGTTCGGGCCGAGGCCGAGAGCCGCCACAGTGACTCCTGCCCCTTCCCACTCGAGGAATCACCGAGTAGACTTCCCAGGCTTCGTCAGGGTCCTGGCTCATTTTCGACCTGTGGATGAGGAGGACCCAGGAATGCGAGACCCCAAGCAGCCGGAGCCCCTCAACAGCAGAACCAACAAACTTCGCTGTGAGTGAGTGGGGAAAGGCCCGTCAGCCCTCAGTTTACCCTCACCAGGGAAGGCCCGGGAATCCCCACTCCTTTGTGAGGCCGGGATGCTTCCGGTCTTCCATGGCGACCTCCCCACGGGATCCACGAGAACTAGGAAGACTCACCTTTCCTTCCGCTCTCTGCCTAGTTGCGTTTCAGCTCTATGACCTGGATCGGGATGGAAAGATCTCCAGGCAGGAGATGTTACAGGTTGGAAGAAACAGCCGGGGAGAAGAGCTGTGTGAATGGAGGGGCCTAGGGCGTGGGGAGGGGAGATTCGTGGCGGGATGTTGCAGATGATTGCGGCTTTGGAGGGGAGTGGGAATGGTAGGGCTGGAGTGCGGAGTTGGTTGGGAGATGACGGGTGGGGATTGATGTATGAGGTTAGGGATGGGTCAGTGATTCTCTGCTGGGGGGAGTTCGCCCCCTTGTGTCAACGTTTGGCCATATCTGGGGACACACTCGGTTGTCACACTGGGAAAGTGGGCTAATTGGTATCAGTCCGGTAGAGGTCAGGATACTGCTCTATATTGTACCTTACACAGGATGACCCCCTACAAAGAGCTATCTGGCCCCAAATGTCAATGGTGTCTAGGTGGGGAAATCCTGGAACAGATACAAGGAGGTGGGGAAGGGACTGGAAGTAGAGGCAGGGGTGTGTGGTGGATGGAGTCTGGTTTGTCTGGGTGGGATAAGAGTTTGGGCGTCTTGGTGAGTGTGGGATGGTGAAAATTGGATGGGAAACTGATGGTGAAGCACTGGGGGGATTATTAGGGGATATGGTGGAGGTGACTGGGACGGGGTGAAAATGGGTGAGGGATGTATCGGGAACTCGGTATTAATTTATGCAGTGAGTTTGGAGAAGTGGAGGTTAGCGGCACTTGATGGCTGTCTCTTCTGTCACCGGACAGGTTCTCCGTCTGATGGTTGGGGTCCAGGTGACTGAGGAGCAGCTGGAGAGCATTGCAGACCGCACAGTGCAGGAGGCAGACGAAGATGGAGATGGGGCCGTATCCTTCTTGGAGTTCACCAAGGTCAGAATTGCCCCTGGGGACTGAGGAGTTGGGGGTCAGGATTTCTCTAGGAGGCCTGGACAAAGGAAATGAAGTTCAGGGGGGAAGGTAGAGAAATAGGGGTTCTGGGAGCTGCAGGCCTGGAGAATGGGTGGAACCTGGGGGAGGAGTCTGGAAGCTTAGAGGCCTGGAATTTGAGCCTCCTTAGCTGACCCTGCCTATCTCTTCCCAGTCCTTAGAGAAGATGAACATCGAGCAGAAAATGAGCATCAGGGTCCTGAAGTGACTGCCTTGTGCCTTTGGCTAGGTCGTGCCATCCAGCGTCTGCTTGGATCATCCTTAGCACCCGCGGAGGCAGGATCCTCTCACTGTGCTCTCCTAAACCAAACTCTACTTAAGGCCAAGGAGACAAAGTAGGAAGGGTGTGTACTGCAGTTTAACTCATTTGATCTCAGATCTCTGAATCAACCATCAGTCTCCTGGTTGCAAGTGACTGAGAGTCCAACTCAAAGTGATTTAAATTCAAAAAGGGATTTTAATGGCTCACATAATTAAAAAGTCTCGACATATCAGTCTTCAGGCACAAATACTGTTATTGGGACTTGGTATTCTCAGTTGCACCTCCCAGCTTAGTTTTCTGCGTTGGCCTCATTCTCAGGAGGGAGGGGCTCCTTCCTCATGGCAGAGAAGCACCAGTAGCTCTAGGCTCCCATCTTTCTAGCCTGGTAAACCAACGGGAATGGATTTCCTTATTGCAGTAATTCCAAGCAGGAAGTGCTATCGCCCAACTGGGATCTTGTCCCCATCTCCCAGGGAATGGAATGCTCTAACTGGCCAGGCCTATGTCATGTACTAGATCCTAGGAAAAAAGTCCTGAGGATTCAGGATGGGGTGAGAGGAAGAATAATGCTTGAAGAAAAATGAAGTTTTCGGGAGAAGGGGGACTTCGTACGTGTGTCTGTGTGTTGTTTTTTCCTCGAGCAAAACAAGAGATGTCCATTATTGTTTGATTGACCGCATTGAGGACCTGTGAACCCTGGGATCTTAAATGGTTTTGCACTGATCCCGTGGAGGCATGCTCTGTGGTGGGTGGGGGTAGTGATGGGGCTGATGATGCAAAAACAATAAACAGTACATACCTTCCTGAGAGTGTGATGTTTGAGAATAACCCTGTGTATTAATGGGAAGAGTTTCAGACACAGATACAGTATACCACGGAGTGGTGCCGGCATCACGCCAAACCATGAGGATCTGTGTCGGTAGCAGGTACATTGGCCATCCTTGCAGGAGATGCTGTCTCTGTCCCCTCCCGTGGATGGGCTGGTGCTGTGTCAACACCTGAGAACCAGTTGTGGGCACATCTTCTCAACTGTTACACTGGCGGCTTGAAGTTGGCAGTACTAGGAGTCTTTACATCTTTACATGATGGACGCTGACAGTATGACAGGCCAGGGCTGTTCCCCCAGGAGAGCCCACTGTTAAGCCTTTATGATCACACTACCTGCTTGGTAGTCACCTCTGATCTATGCGCCATGGCTCTTCGTCCTGCCCCTGTGGTGCTCCGCCTGTGGTCTCTGGCTGGCGTAGGCGCACACCCTGCCTGTGCACAGCAGGTTGTGCCAGGAAGTTCATTATCCTTGGGAAAACTCTAAACCAGTTTGAAGTGGAGGAGACCCAATTCCTTCACATGCCGGGTGGGGCAGTGTAGAGGGCTCTTCGTTCCCATAGGTGTCTCCAGCGGATTTGAGGCCCTGGTGCCCACAGTGTCAACCCAGTTGCTTGGAGCACCCTGACCAAGCTCCTTCCCAGCTTGTCTTGCTTGCCCGTGCCCCTTAGTGCTTCCTGGACCACCTCAGACCCTCGTCTCCTGTCCTTCTAGTGAAACTCAGTCCAAGACTACTGGGGCTTCTGGAACACAAGTGCACATGCCCGTGCAATTGTGGGGGCATCCTGGGGCACACTGAGGAAACCCTGCATTGGAGGAATCAGTGCCCTGGCATTTGCTGATCTTGGGGAGTTTGAAATCCTATAAAGGCTGTGTCCCTTTGGGGCCGAGGAACCTGGGCTGGCCCTGGCTGGGGTATTAATATCATTTCAGCATTTACAGTTTGATTACAGTTTGAGTCAGATGGATGAGTGCCATAGTTGGGGCGTCACAAAGAGGAATATTTGGGTCCTTAGGTGATTCTGTGATTTTGTGAGCGGATTGTCATGTGAACAAGGCCTTTCTGATGGAGAAATATTTGTTTAGTCTTTGACCCCAATTAAAGAAGGTGAGTGGGGAATAAAACTCAATGAATGGCTGGTTTTCCAGGCGCTGCGAGGGAAGATTTGTCTTAAAAAGAAATATAGGGGAGGGAGGGAGGGAAGGAGGAGAGTGGCACTAGCTTTATTTCTGGTCTTTTTTCCATCATAGAATTATTCAAACTTTCCTGGTGGTAAATTCTCTCTGATTGAAAAGTTCAGACCCTCTGGCCCCATTTGAGAGTTTCCAAGTCTCCAGGGAAATCTATAGCTTTCATTAGTGATTTTTGAGTTAACGCTGCAAGGTTCAGCTTTTAGAAACATTGGCTCAGAGCCTGTGGCTGGGCTGCAAGGGACCACGCTCCCTCAGGGGTCTCCAGCATTAGCACAGCTCCCCAGGGAAGCCCCCCTCCCATGTGCTGCACCTGCTCTGGGGGGGCTAGTGCTCCTGATCTAAGGAGGAACTGCAGGGTCTGGCATGGTCCCCAAGATGCCACTTTCTGCCCTGGTGCAGGGAGTGTACTTCCCCACACCCCTCTACACAAACAAGCCCCCAGTGCCACCTGAGCTCAGGACACAGGACACCTTGGTGGTGCCAGGGAGGGCTCAGTCTGGCTGCTGTGGCCAGAGCTGCTAAGCAAACTCTCTCACTGCTGACTGATAAAAGTGCTCGTGGAATTGGGGTGGGGGTTGGTGATACCAGTGGCGATCCCTGTTCTGAGAGTGGCAGTTGACACTTTTCACTGATTTATCACCTTTATTTTTGATGCGGTATACTCCTCTCGACTGTACCATTATCCACTGATGACAGGCTGTGTTTTCCTTGTCCGAAATGCCTGGGGCCAGAAATGTTCTGGAGTTTTCCAGAGTCTGGTACATTTGCATGCATGCAAAGAGATATCTTGGGGATGTGATCCACATCGGAACATGAGATCCATTAATGTTTCTCACCTTTTACATAAAGCCTGAAGATAATTTTATACTTTTTTCCCTAGTACTTGGGATTGAACCCAGGAAGCTCTGAACCACACCCCAGCCCCTTTTATTCTTTTAAGACAAGGTATTATTGCTCAGGCTGGCTTCAAACTCCTCATTTTCTGGTCTCAGCAAGGATTACAGATGTAGGCTGCCACATCTGGCTGTTAAGCTTTTTTAGTGCACTTGTGTCTTGACTTTGACCCATTGCATGATGTCAGGTGTGCAAATTTCCACTTGTGCGGTCATGTTGGTGCCCTGAAATTTGATTTGGTAGCATTTTGAATTCTAGATTTTCAGATTAGGGATGTTCATTCTATAGTTGTTTGCAAATTGACTCATTTAAATTGTATATAATTATTTTTGAGACAGGGTCTTGCTATGTAGCCCAGGCTAGCCCCAAATTCATAGTGATCCTCCTGCCTCAGCCTTCCAAATGCTGGGATTATAGGTGTGTGTCACTATGTCTGGCTAAAAATTTGCACATTTGAAGCTAGGCATGGAGGTGTACATCTGTAATCTCAGCACTTTTGGAGGTTGAGGCAGGAGGATCACAAGTGTGAACTCAGCCTGGGCAGCTTAGTGACTGAGACCTTGTCTCAAAGAAGAAAAAAAGGACTGGAGATGTAGCTCAGTGCACAGCCCAGGTTCCATCCCTGGTCATATGATAGATAGATGGATGGATGATCAGGACAACAGTTCAGATTTCTGAACTTTCCACTCCAATAGAAGTAGCTCTGGGTTACCGAACTCACCCCCGCCCATGCAACACCAATAAAATCCTCGTGATGTTTAAGAGGCAGCATGCAGTTTTGACTCCTGGTGAAGATTTGCCCTGAAAGCCAGCGTGGTTCAGTGTAAATGGTTCTGAAGTCCCAGGTTAGGCCTGGGTTTGGGATCTGGGCCCTTTTAATTATCTGCTATACAACCTTGGGTAATTAATTACCTTTATCCTCGAGAGCCTTGCTGCTTCTGTGTGGGAAAGAGTCTGAGAACAGCACTACCCTGGAGAGCTGTTGGCCTTGTCTTTTCCACAGACCCACTGTGATCTCAGCAGAGCACCTTGGCCACATAGGTAAGCCTGGACTCTAGCCTGTATCCGTCAGGATTTCTTTGGCTGTTAGTTAATAAAAATAGAATTTTATTGGTTTGTATAGCTGAAATAAAAGTTCAAAGGTTGAACGGAGACGAGGATCCCAAAGGCTCGATGACATTAGCAGAAATTCATCTTTTCCTTTCTCCACTCTGCTGTCCTCTGCATTGGTTTCATCTTGAAACAGTAATCGCAGTAAACAAGAGGTTACTTTTTTTTTTTTGAACTGGGGATCGAACCCTGGCCCGATGTGCTTGTGAGGCAGGCGGCGGAACCACTGAGCTAAATCCCCAGCCACAGTACCTTTCTTTTCCATCACTTCTATCAAAAGCCCAGAGCAACCGGCCTGCCCGCTGTAGCCAGGTGAAGGTCACTCTCTGATGGCCCCTACCTGTTACATGCTTTTCTGAGAATTGGAAGTTGCTATTACTCCTACTTGAGCCAAATGCAGTGCATATGTGTGATTTCTGCTATCTGAACTGGTATCAGAATGTTGTTACCTGACCATGTCAGTCAGGCAGTGTCAACGGGTAACTGGATACTTCTTAGTACTGTTTGCCTACAGATGACAGAATGACCAACTAACAATGATGTAAACAATTAGGGCAATGGCCTCACATGGTACGCTGACTCTGACGGTCTGCAGTTCAAGTTGTTGATTGGGGAATGAACCTAGGGGATTGTGTCTGTTAGGCAATCAAAACTATTTTTAAGGATCTGAATTATTATTCCCTTCCTTAGTCTGTTGGCTTTGGACTCTTATTTACTCGTGGTCACAAGATGGCTTCTGATGCTCTAACCATCACATCTTCATAGGGACAGTATATATATAATGCACCTACGGGATGCAGTTAAAGATAATTCCCTTCATGTCCCTCTATTTCGATCTCTTGTACTGGGCATTGAATGTAGGGACTTTGCACTGAGCTACATCCTCAGCCCATTATTAATTTTTAATATTTGAGACAGGCTCTTGATAAGTAAGCTGCCCAGACTGGGCTTGAACTTGCAGTCTTCCTGCTTCAGCTTTCCAGAGTGCTGGGATTGCAGGCATGTGCCACCAGGCTAAGCTTCTATTTTGGTACTAGAGGAAAATCTTTTTCCTGGAAGTATACCAAGAAGGTACAGGCAAGGAGTACCTGTCATTTCTCAAGACAAGTAGAACAGCTTTAGCTGTAAAGGAGGCTTAGAAAGTGAGTACCTGTGGTTTCTTCATTCTTTATTGGGAGAAATGGGCTTTTCCAATAGTGATAAAGGGGAGAGAAATAGTAGCTGTGTATTGCATGATTCACAGCGGATGTGGTCGAGAACAGCCCAAAATCTTCAGGGCTTAACAGCAGTGAAAGTTTGTTTCTCGTCTGGGTCCCATGGTGATGTTCGTGGGCACCATGGCACTGCTCCCCAGGTCGTCAGATCTCAGGGGCAGCCTCACCAGGGCTGTACCATCCTCAGGGGAGAGGGGAGGAGCAGAAGAGCTGCAGGCAACACACAACTTCAGTTTCCACCTGGATCTGATGTGAGCCCGTGTGGAGTGTGGCAGCTTCAAACAACAACACTGTTACTGTATTGGATATGTCTGTGCAGGAGAGGCTCCCTTAGGTGTTTTGACTTAGGTCACTCTGGTATTCATCTGGGCTCAGGTAGAGGGTCCAGCTTGACCGGATTCAGTGGGGTCTTGCTAGGTAGGATCTCCAGGGTGGTGAGGGGGAGTTTGGAGACCTCACACAGGCAGCTCAGGCCTCCTAGAGAGAGTGCCTGAGAGACAGAAGGCAGAAGAAGCCAGACTCTGAAAGCCAGGGCCTACAGACAGGTACGTGTCC